CCATCTATTCAAAAACTGAAAGTGAAAGTTCGATCGAAGATCAAAAACAAATTAATTATGAAAAAGAGAAGGTGGTTGATACTAAGATAATTTATTCCAGTAGTAAAGAAAAGCCTGGAACAAGCAAAATTGTTAATGATAAGGGAAAAATTCAAAGTAGAGACGATTCTCCAGACAATTATTACAAATATACACCTGAGAAACTTCCTAGCGATTGGCCACATGATGGTTGTGATCAAAATTGTCCTGCTAAAATATTAAAAGGCAAGAATTATAAATTCTGTATAAATACGACTAGTCGATCATGAACATATCTAATAGTACTGTACTGTTAATTGAATCAGGACAAAAGAACGAATTACGGTACTGCATACGGTACCGTTCTTTCTGTTGATAACATTTCTTGATCATACGTGTGCACGATATTTTTCAATAAAAAAAAAAAAGACAGGGATACAAACAAACACATTATTTACAAATGAAAACAATGATCAATTTATTAAAATTTTTCTTTATTAACAAACCCATATACGAATCATCCATGTAAAAACTTGTATATATAAATCACAGATCTTCATAGGGATCGTATATTCTTATCTATTAATCTATTTATAAAGATTAACGATACAGTACTATTACAAATAAGTTTATTATAGATACATATTTTTCAAAAATCATTCTTTCATCGTCTTACAGAACGTGCTGAAAAGTTGTTGGAAGAAAAGCAAAAATATATGGAGGATCGTTACTTGCGCACTGGACTGAGTTATTTTGAAGATGTTTGTACCTGTTCCCTCGGTTGTATGGTTGACAATTTGAGAAAAGATCGTTTCGTTCGTAGAATATTAACATCCGCAATTTTTTTTGCTTTTGGTATTAAATTATGCTCGGAATTATACGGCTGGTATTTACCTAATCGTACTTAACCAAATCGATCTCAAAATGAATAAAAATGAAGACATCAAAAATATAAGATAAATATCAACTGTTAAATATCAATTGTAGTAGAAGCTTCTGAATTTATTAACAATAAAAATGAGATTACGTTTATTCAATATTTCGCAACTCTTCTTTTTAAAATAACACTAATCGTGCAAAGTAATACAACTATAATCGATAACGCACAACCAATAAAAACATAAGGAACGATCAGGTGATATTGAATGAAATTTTCTCTATCAGTTTTTTCTTTAGGAAGATTAACACGAAACGAAATATCATTTTCCCAATCGATGGTATTATTATATGTTTGAATAGATCTTTTAGATCTTCTGTTGTGACCTGCTGGACAATTCAAAATGCAATCGGCACCTTCCAAACAACCGGTTATTTTAACAGTTAAGATCATTTCGTCGTTCTCTCTCATATTTTCGAACATGAATGCTTGAAAGATAAGATAAGTTTCCAAGGGTGATATGCGATATTGTTCTCGAGAACAAATCTCTCGAATGTCAGAATTCAAACACCCGTTTGTGTCTAAAATCCATAAACTATTCATCACTTTTTTCCCTTGTTTATTTTCTATATAATGAACTGTCACTTCACCGATTCTCGAATATTTCCAACCTGGAAATAAACGTATTTTATTTTTATTTTAATGTTAATTTCACTAATCGTATTAGTTTATTTTATTAAAATCATTATCACCGTTTCCATCTCGTACAAGAACACGCAATAATACTTCTTCCCCTAAAATTAGAGTATCACCAGATTGTATTCTAGTGTCAAATACTTTATCAGAATGAAATGTCTTTCTAAACAATCCGACATCGACTTCTAAAGTATTTTGAAAACCACCAGTAACAACACGTGGTACCATTCTTGCCGATCTAAAATAAATCACGCATAAAATAACAAACATATATTAACTTGATGAAATAAACAACAAATCATTATTATCAATAATATATTAATTATCATACGTGTCAAGAGTTTTCATCTTAATCTGTTTCGTACGAGAAGCAATTTTTTCTTGTACTTTACATCGTAGCGTAATCTTTGAATCATCTTTCAATCTAAGACCCGGTATCAATGGAAATCTTAAATCTAGACAATAAAATTTGTCGGTTTCCGTTGAACAAGCAACAACTCCGCAATGACGAAATTTTTCTTTTTCCAAATTGATCGTGTACTCGTTTTTTATCTTTACAATTTTACACGTCTTCTCATCTTCCACGTTATCTATCACAGGTAATTCATTCGTAGTTGCTTTTATGGATGCCCTGATAATGACAAAAAATAATTGTTATGAGTTACACAGACGCGTACCGTTCAAAGACCAAAACGATTAACTAAATTTTTAAAATTGTTTAAAATTTGGTATAACTGTTGAACAATAAATATAACAGTGTATATATAACTTTATTAATTTGTTCTACTTTTAGATTTTATGGTATTAATCTATTTGGCAAATGAACGGATTGTATTATACGAATTTCTATATTCCCAGCAGCGTACTTAAAAAAAATGTCATCGTCCGTATCGCGACAAGATATTTCTTCTATTTGGATGGTGTTCTTTTGGGGTAATGATTTATCGACATTACTTATGTTTTCGGTTGTACTCGAGTAAACCCGTTGAGAGGATCCGACTTGCAAATGAGATGGTCTTCGATAATAATATCGACCTTCTCGACCACCAACTTCAAATGGATGCTGCTGTTCCTCTTTGTTATTCTCTGTTGCACTCGTTAATTCGGTCATTAACGACATGGACGAGTTATTTTTTGGTACATCCTCGATATCCTTTATTCGAACGATATTCCTCTCTTCGTAGGGTAAATAATTGGTAAACACACCGGAATCGTTTGATTTTTGAGGAAAATTGATCAACACTGTATCGTGAGATTTGAAAGATGTTGCATGATCGAACGATAACATCGTCAATATTATTAATAACAAATCATTATTAAAATCCTATAATGTTATAAAGAAAAATTAATATGTATGTCAAATAATGCGAATTTTGAGTTTCTAATTATATAGATGGGTTGAAAAGTTTTGATCGAAACATAGAAACAATTTCTTTTTTTCAAATAAAACTCACTTTTATTTTTCGAAATAGTTTATCAAAACTTTTCTATCCACCCTCTTATTTATGATAAAAGAATAAAATACAATAAATTTATACCGTTAATTTTGAAAGTGGATTATCAATCAATTATAAATATTAATTCTATGAGTTACCTTATAATATAAATAATTTGTTAAATCTACAATTAATCGTAAAATCAATTTAATCAATTTTTAAGTCCACTGTCATAATTACCGATACATTTAATTGGTAAAACAAAGAAGAAAACAATGCAATAAATTTTGCAATTGAAATAATAATCAAATGAAAATTTGCACCTGTTCTTTTCGCTTAGAAAAGAATTTTCCTGTGATAAGGTGTAAAAACTTAAAATCGTTGAAGGACCGTATCATTTTCGTAAGATCAACTACAAAAGACTGACAAACTTGTAGAGTTTGATGTACGCTTTTAAAGGTTCTCTTTTTATTGGCTCAATGATACCTTTGTCACATTGTACGGAATGTGGATTTACGAGGACACCAACGATGTCCATTATTAGGAACATACGATATTTCGTGATTCGACTGATTAAGGAGTACTTAGCATAAAACACCATCTGTATCCTCCATTTTAACGCCTCTGCCATTAACGTCAATATCAATGCCTCTGTGTTCGGTGTGTATATATGTACGTGTATTATCGTATAACCAGCGGTATTATATTCCAAAAAAATTCGGGTCAAAGAAGTTTCTTTTAAGAATAACATTACACAAGAGATATATGTATATGCAAGAATCACGAATGATTTCTCTATTCCTTTTTAATATCCTTTTTAATATCCTTTTAATTATTTATTTTCATCATTTATTTGGTCTGTATATATTTTTTTTTTTTATTAATTAATTGATAGTATTTGATAAAATATTCTAATTATACGTGGTCAAACTAACATATGAACATTTTATTTAATATAAATAATTAAATATTTTTATATCAAATCACATTTTATCAGTATAATATTAATTATTTGATCGATATAATTTGATTAATATTTAAAATAATAAATAATTATTATATTTAAAAATATTTCAATCTCAAAATAGTATTAATTTTTATATTAATCAATTTAATACTGACCACTTCTAATGCTGTATTATAAATATTGACAATTAATTCAAAGTAATAATGTTATGCTTTAATAATAATATATTGAAAAAAAATGTTTCAAAAATAAAAAAATAAAATAAAAAAAAAACTGCTCCAGGTGAGGCTCGAACTCACAACCCCGGCATTGCTCACGAACACTGTCTTATAAGTACCGTGCGCTAACCAATTGCGCCACTGGAGCGATTGCTAAGAGGGTCGCTAAAATAATTTTTCAGTACTAGACTTGTTAAAATTAAATATAAAAAATTTCTAAATTATGCAGTGCATTAATTATTCATAATTAATAACCATATTTAATATCCTTAAAAATTATTTTTTAATTTTATTCAAAAAGCATTAGAACTTTTGAGATATTATTTAATACAAAAATATACTCACTTTGATGAATGTACGATGAATGCACGATGAATGCACGATGGGTCTCCTACCCTTAGGACGACGATGACAATGCACAAACAATGACTATAAAACTGCATTACATGCAGTTAATTCAATTAACACTAGATTTATGGACTGAGCAAATTTGATTCATTTCAAACTTTTTTGCTACATATATACAGGGTGATCTGTAACTGGAGGTACAAGCGAATAGAGGGTAACTTTATATGAAAAAATAAATCGAAAATATACAATAACAATTTTTCGTTTGAGGCTTTGTTTTCGAGAAAATCGACTTTGAATTTTCTCAAAGTACGAGTGCACTTGATCATAACCTATATACATATGTAAGTTATTTCTGAAAAGTTCGTAGGGTATATCCGAAATGTTTGTAGAGTATTTCGGAAAAGTTTCTCCGAAAAGTAAACGAGGTTCATCCACGAGGATCTTTTACGAGGCTCTTTTACGATTTATTTATTTTTGAATATTGTATGAATATTTAGTTTTCAATATTGTATGAATATTTATTTTTCAATATTATATAAATATTTATTTTTCAATATTGTATGAATATTTATTTTTCAATATTATATAAATATTTATTTTTCAATATTATATAAATATTTATTTTTCAATATTGTGTAAATATTTATTTTTCAATATTGTATAAATACTTATTTTTGAATATTGTATGAATATTATTTTTGAATATTTATATAATATTATTTTTGAATATTATATTGATATTATTTTTGAATTTGAGAATTGAAAAATGAATTTAAATATTAATCGGCATCTTTATTTATCATCTTTAATTGCAAATATCTAAAAAATTATTGAGTAGTTGCTCCTATAACCATATATATTTGTGAGCAGGGAAACAAAATTATTTTCTTACAAAATTTGAACAAAATCCGTGAGGGCAAAACCTTGCACTCCCTTTATTAGGCGGGTTATTTTTCAATAAAAATTCAATTTTTGCATAGAACGAAAATCACCTGCGTAGATGTATATATCAATACGACAGGTGTGTGGTAAAAGAGGATTTTATTGTGCTTGTAGTTCATATTATTCCCGTAGCTTTCGCTGAAGTCCAATGTTTAAGGGAAAGCTGATGAACGGCCTTGATATATATATATGTATACAAATGATCATAGGTAGTTCTAGTCTTAAATAGATAAAACTAGACTGGACGCTATCACGACAAAGGGTAGAAATGGATTATTGATGTTCAATAAACACAACAAAATCGGAGAAGAAACAATGGGGTTATTGGATCGTTTAGCTAATCTTCTAGGCCTAAGAAAGAAAGAAGTAAACGTTTTAGTAGTCGGCCTTAATAACAGTGGTAAGTCGACGGTCATAAATAATTTCAAACACGAGGATGACCGTTGCATAGACATAGTGCCCACGGTTGGGTTTAATGTCGAAAAATTCTCATGTAAGTTAAATATTGAGGATCATCAAATGACGGTGGATGCTTTTTACAGCACTTACATTTTTTTATTGCACTTATTTGTTGTTATCAATATTGTGATTCGTAATTTTTCTATTTATTATAATATTAAAAAGTTGATATATTATAAAAACGTTTTATTTCTTTTTTAAATTAATTCGAATAATTACATATATATATATATATATATATATATATATGTGTGTACAATATTAAATTATATAAAAAATAAATTATATATATATATATATGAACTTAATAGGTATATAAACATACATATATATATTAAGTTGTTTAACAATTACAATTTTACAAAACAATACATTTTTTTTTTTATTTATTAATTTATTTACCATCTATGTCACTTATATCCAATTGTGGTAACTTTTCGATTGAAGTGAGTTTTCTTGAACGTAAGCGTTTAGGAGTGCTAGTAACACTACTTTTTATCCTTTTTACTTTATCGTCTATTATTTTAGAAGTATTTAATAATTTTTCTCGAGAACGTAATTGAATGGAAAAATATGGAAGTTTTGATTGTTTCTTAACTATTTTTGACGGTTTAGGAGAAGTTACATTTTTCATTTGTTTACTCGTATTTGCTTCTTTGTGTACCTCTTGTTTTAATAGCTGCGTTGGAATTTTTATATTTTTATTCGATTGCTTTAATATCTTATCGACATTATCTTTTCTTATCCCTTTGGCAGTTGTCGCTAATGGTCTCTTTCTCTTTCGTCTTGTCTTGAATATTTTATTTGGAGATCTTGTTGAACTTAAGTTATCTTCATTCTCTTTCGAATCGCTGGATACCTATAAATGAAATAATAATAATATCTGTCATATGTTAGAAATAAACTAAACAAACAAGTTAAAATCAATAACTATTAAACTCATACGTCAGTTTCTGATATAGTATCATTCTTATTCTCCCTTTTCCATGTAAATTGTGCGTTGTCTTCTTGTAAGAATTTATCAAATGCTGTTATTAAATCATTGATATAAAATACTTTTAAAGATTTTCTTAGTCTTTTCTCAGTCTCCTCTTTGTATTTTATATTTCCATGTATTTCAAATTTGATATCATCTGGTTTATTATTTTTAGAATTATACCATAAAAAAATTGTTATACGAACATAACTTTCATTTATCTTATCGTATACTTGTGATAATTCTAATATAAATGTACTATATCCCAAATTTGTTTGCACATTACAATTATTCAAATTATCAAGGTAAGACTAAAATATATAAAAAGAAATAAAAGAAAAAGAGAAAAATCTTTTTTATTCATTTATTATTAACTCACGCGTAAGAAGAACATTAGTAATAAATACCTTGAATGTTTGATATTGTTGCAACCTCATAATATAAGAATCGACATGCAATTTACAATTTCTTAAAAAAGGATGTAAATCCTCTACCGTGTTAAGTGATACTTCTGACAATAACTGTTTCATGTCAACTGACATAGGCATTATCCATTTGCCTACACGTATTGTTTTATTCTGAAAGATAAATTCTATCGCAAATTTTTCCTCCTGATGCTTCAAAAATGAACTAAATCCAATTATGAACTTAGTTGCAACAACTTGTGCACAATACAATCCACTATATCTGTACAATTCATGATTTATATCTATTGGCACAATCTGTTTCTTTTTATCAACAAGTGTATTTTGGCTATTTGTGCCTTTTATATTCTTGAATCTTGTAACTCGTAATTTTTCTTGTAATTGTTTAACCACGTCTCTTAAATCTTTTATTTTCTTCTCTAATTCTTTTCTTTTATTACTTGATGGACCTAAAATTGACAATATAATAATATTATATTTTAAATAATATTTTTAAAGGTTAGGTTTATTGTATTCATATATAAATTATTTAAATTCATACCATCGTACAAATTTTCTTTTTCACTGCTTGTATCATCAAAAGACGACAAATTTGAATCCATATTACTATAAATTAATTAAAATTTTTATACATAAACACATATCTAAATAAAATCCCGCCAAAATACTTTTAACTGATATAGCCCAGTGATTCTCATTTATTTAGTAATACTAACCTAAGTAGTTCATAAAATAAAAGAAAGCTACACGAATATTAATACTATTTCTATGTAATATACATACACACACTATATACATACATAACACTGATATATATATTAATTATTAATTTACACACAACATCAATATCGTCTTGTTTCCAGTCAAAAATGTTAATTTTACCGCGTTTGATATGTCGGGTCATGATCGTCACAGATCCTTATGGGAACATTATTATAAAGAATGTCATGGAATTATTTTTATTATTGACAGTAGCGATAAACTGAGATTAGTTGTCGTTAAAGAAGAATTAGATATGCTACTCCAACATCCTGACGTAGCAGGTATAATGAATGATTACAATAATTGTTGAACTTATTAAAGTTTCAATTTGAAATTATTTTTTAATTTTATTATTGCAGGCCGTAAAATACCAATCCTTTTTTTGGCAAATAAAATGGATCTACCGGACTCATTAACAACTGTAAAATTAGTCGCAGGTCTTGGATTGGAAAAAATCCAGAATAAACCATGGCATATACGAGCAACAAATGCAGTTACTGGTGAAGGATTACAACCGGCAATAGAATGGCTCACAGATCAAATTCGCGATATATATATTAATAAAAGACAATAATTATGAATGTAATTAATATTCTTCAATAACGTTTAAGATTATTTTAAATATTTTTATTCAAAGTATCGATGAGAAGACGCAGTAAACAGCGTTCATGTTTTAACAATGTTAAATTATAATATTATTTTAATTACAACACGAATCCGTCCAAAAGATTAAAATTAATAATAATAATAATAAGAAGAAGAAGAAAATATAGAATATTTCTATTTAAATAAGCCTTGTTATTTTATAGAATAAATAACATTTTAGAAATATATATATTATTTTCATTTCATAATGTCATGTGTTTTCGCGCTATTTTCAAGATGGCGCTATGTTTAAAATCGATTGTGGGGAACTAAGATGGTGGATAAAGGCTATCTGGAAAGTTTATATCCACTTTCTGAATTTATTAACGAGAAAATATAAAATTTATTATTAAAATTTATTGTAAAAAACATGTATAATCTTGGACGCCATATATAAGACTGATATCTTTCGAAAATTATATTATTCTAGAACTTAACTGGTGTGGTTCCCGTATAGGGAAAAGTGGCGCTAGTGTACCACGCTAGACACATACCGCTACATCGATTCAGTTATAACTGTACCACGTCTATACTTTTACGTATATAACGCCTACGCGCGTCCTACGTGTATATGTAAACTGTAGTTGTATTGACCTATTGAGTTTGACATAACGCGGGTGAACCGAAGTAAATGATTTTTTAATTAAATTTATTATTTATTAAAATCGCGTTAATAGTAATAGAAAAATGAAAGAAAAGGGATTATTTATTTTCTTTATTTTATTTGGCATCGTTTTTAAGTCCATCGATTGTTCTAACGTGAAAAAATATTCTTTATTGATGCCGAATGTTAGTCCGAATGTGGTAAGAACATTTTTATATCTTTTTATGAACATTTATATAGCATTTTTAAGACCTTGACAATACGTTTCTACAATTGAATATGATTATTAATATTATATTGTGATAGAAAATTATGGTCTTTTTTATTTTGAAACATATGAAAATTTTATAATAATTTTTATATAATTTCCTTATCTTTGATTTATTGTAAAAAATGGAACTACGTGATAAGAAGTCTTTCATTGCTACATATTAATGATTGATAATAATTTATATTCATAATTTATAGCCGGAATTATACTTATGCACTCCGATAAAAGTAGATCCAAGTAGGAGTTATTATATCGTTGGCTTTGAGCCAAATGCTACTATGGAAACAGCTCACCATATGCTCTTGTATGGATGTACAAAACCTGGAAGTACCAAGACTGTATGGGATTGCGGTGAGATGGCACAATCTCTTAATGGCCAACATGAAACAGCTGTTCCTTGCAGTGAAGGATCTCAAGTAAGTAAAACATGACTTATAAATTTTCAATGTCTACAATTAAAAAAAAAGAAAGTATCAATGTAAAAAGTAATTTTTGTATATAATATAGATCCTGTATGCTTGGGCTAGAGATGCACCTCGTTTGAATTTACCAGAAGGTGTTGGTTTTAAAGTTGGAGGTGATTCACCAATCAAATATATTGTTCTTCAAGTACATTACGCACATATTGATCGGTTTAAAGATGGTAGTACTGATGATTCAGGAGTATTTCTACATTACACATTGCGTCCACTAAATAAATTAGCCGGTGTACTTCTCTTGGGAACTGCAGGTGTTATACCACCCAGAAGTGTGGAATATATGGAATCCGCTTGTATTATTAAAGAAAATAAGACTATATATCCTATAGCATATAGAACGCATAGTCATTCCTTGGGTAGAATCATTTCTGGGTATGTTATAAAACCCAATTGGAAATGGACAGAACTTGGTAAAAGAGATCCTCTTACGCCACAGATGTTCTATCCTGTAAGCAATAATGTTTCGATTACCATGAATGATAGAGTTGCAGCTCGTTGCACCATGCAAAGTACACGCAATACTTGGACTAATATTGGCTCTACAAACGAAGACGAAATGTGTAATTTTTATTTGATGTACTATGTTGAGAATGATGATCCATTGGACATGAAATATTGCTTTACTCCTGGACCTCCGGTTTATTATTGGGAAACAAATGGTCTTAGAAATATTCCTGATAAAGAAGCATCGACATTATAATGAAATATTATATCAATTCAGCAATTGTATAAAGGCAAATGGCTTGACTTCATCATTCTCGTTAACGAAATAAGATATGTATATCATCACATCATGGTTCTAAATTATACGTGTCAATTTGGTGCTACAGGACGAAGACATGGGATCAAATTATCTTGAATATCTTTTTACTCCATGATTATATTTCCAATAATATTTAAGCACAATTTTATTCCGATTTTTTACAATCTTATTTAGGTGGTATCGTAGTATTAGTTAAAACATTATTTTTTACTTGAGTTTATTTTTGTTGAGTCAAAAATATGTTTTAAATTTTAAAACGATATATTTTTTAATTGATTGATTTATTTATTAAAATATTTTAAGATTAATATTGGAGACAGGATAAACAACATATCTGGTATATATCTTAATAGACATAACAAATTGCCTTCACAGTACAATTATTTCTTGCAATGTATTTTGCGGGAATTTAGTTAATTTACTACTTAATAACTACTTACTGTTTCAATATGTACTTAAAACAATCTCAATTATATGATAATAGCACACACACAAAAAAGAAAAACAATAATAATCTTATCAGTAATATTGAAAACATATTTGTATAATTGCACAATTTTTGTGCTCGGTGTTTTATAATAATTTTAATTATTTATATAGTTAAAAGTATTTCTCGAAGGAAAATGAAATGCTTTAGTTTTAATTTTACACGAAATGAAACATATCTGTGATTTTTTATTTTTCCTGATTAAATAGAACGAGGTATGATTTATTTTAA